TTACAAAAAAACACGCATTTATTTATTTTTATTTATTTATAAATTAAGAGATTAGGGACTGAAATAAATACATTTTATTACAGTTCAAGGATGGAAATAAATTAAGGGAAAAAAGAACTAACGATAAAAATCAGACTTTGTGATTGCAGTGAAAACAAACTCTCTTGAGAGAGGATTTAGGGCTGAGCCATCATCCACAGGTTGTCATTTCATCTTCATCTGGCTTAAACTGGTTTCTGGGATCAAGTCTTAAACGGTATGTTGGGTTTGTGAAGTCAATTCATATGCATTCAAATTAATATTTGGAAATAAAAACACAATCACACACACACACTTTGTTCTCCTTTGAGAAATAAGCAAACTGATGGATTAAAGCCCTGCGGAAACTGGATTATTCAAAGATTTACAGAGGAAATGAGACAAAAAGCCACGGCATATTCTAAAAGCATATTTGGATTATACAAAGAGTTTTGTCTCTTTCAAAAAAATTTTAATATAATATAATGTATTATTTAAAAAAAATAAAATAAAACTCATGTTTCGCAAATACAATACTTAAAAAAAAAATAACGACAATGAAGACGACTGGTTATTATAGAGATAAGTATTAGTTACAGCAATAATAATAATAATAATAATAATAATAATATACAGTGTCTTTTTCCATCTTTCACCAGTAATACACCCTGGGAGAAGAAAAGGTTAATTCGCTTAATTAAATAAATACTGCAAACGAAAATACTGCAGTAGTCACATTTAAAACACAATAAAACAAACTTTGCTTTAACTAAAATAATTAAAATAAAATTCATACCATGTGCAAGCAGAGCATAAGCAGGGCAGAGTAACACTGACACATCTTCATGTGTTTTTTGAGTCCAGATCTGGCTTATTAAAGATCAGGTCGACTCGTGGCAAGGTCTTCTGTCAGTATTCCTAAAAACACAAAAGCTGTCATGCTTGAAGATATGAGGAAATACATGAAATTAGTGTTAAGAAAAAACAAATAACAAGAAAATGGGCAAACTTTACATTTGCATTAACGGTATAATCATGTTAGCAAATAACAGGTTGAAACGTACATGAATGTATACAAGAAAGTATATAAAACTGGTCAAGTTTACTGGCTTAATTAGGCTTCTACCATTTTATTAACCTTTTAACTTTTCTTGCAGATTCTGTAGTGTGAAAAATAAATGTTAAAAATTACAAACACACCATGTAGACTCTAATTAAATGAAGTTTGATGTTGTTAAAATTGGTTTGAAATGAAGTATAAAATGACACTGCAGGAAACTGCTGTCACAGCTTGAAATGTCAAGTACCCGACAATATTGTCAGCACTGAGAAATACTGTATTAAATGAACACGCAATTATTTTGTGAAGAGGATTATAGTTATTCTTTGTTATATAAATTCATTCACCAGGGGTAACAAACTAAGCAATGCAAAAGAGTTACCAAATAAATAAACAAATAGAAAATTGTTTAATATTAATAACAATAATTAGTTTCAGAATAACTCACCCTTTTACTGTAGAGTTGGATCCATACATCTCTGTGCGGTGAGCATCCTTACAGTGTAGTTATCGTAGTGCTTAAAGAGATGAAGACAAATATCACTCCTCAACAGTCCAAACTCAAAGTGACCAGCAATAAAAACTTCTTCGCATTTGATTAAAACAATATAATCTTCTTCTTTACTCAGCGAGGCTCGTGTCCAGCTGCATTAAATCCTCTTAGCTCTGCTCATCTGGCTGCATGCCTTTCCACTGCAACACTCACATATCCTAACACGATTATGTTTGGATGTGATTGTCCATCCAAAAGAAAAAATATATAATAATAAAACTGCTCT